CACTCCGTGCCTGCTGCAACACATGTGCCATAGCTTCACCATCACTGGACTAGGCAGTCTGGAGTATAACCATGTGGAAGAGAAGTTTGTCCTGGATGAGAGACTGAGCCTGTGTAGAAGAGTGATTGGAGAGAAGCTGGCCTTGAAGATGCAAAGGTTTTAGTGGTGTAGAGTCTGGTAATGCGAAGTGGAGGACATAGGATGCTAGGGATTTGGAATAGATTAACTCTGTTCTTCCCTTTTTATTTGGTTCTAGGCATCATTTTGACGTATTAATATGTTATCCACTTAAAACAGAGTCTGTAAACTATGGCTTCTTAAGTAATTTTTTTTTTTTTTTGAGATTGGGTCTCGCTATGTAGTTCAGTTCAAGCTGGCCTTGAACTCACTATGTAGCCCAGGCTGGCCTCAAACCCTCCTGCCTCATCCTCCTGAGTGCTAGGATTACAGGTGTGTGCTACCATGCCTGGCCTTTCTTCTCTAAATCGGACCTGAGACTTTTTGACTTGTTTTTGTACAGTTTTCAACCTAAGAATTTAAAAATTTTAAAATATTATATAATATCTTATAATGTAATTATACTTGTAATTTACTTTATTTTCCTAAACTATATAAATACTAACTTAATAGAATATATTTTTAAACAATGTTTTAGGTGGTTGAAGAAAAATCAAAAGGAAAATATATCATGACATGAAAATATTATGAAATTCAATTTTCAGTGTCCATAATAAAATTATTTTTGGAGAACACAGCCACACATTCATTTATGCTTTTGTGTTATAGCAGCAAAGTTGAGTAGAGCCACTGAGACTGTATGCCTACACAGTCTAAAATATTTACTCTCTGGGCCTTTATAGAAAAAGTTTGGTGAGCCAGGCGTGGTGACGCACACCTCTGTTATCTTGGCATTGTTAAGCTGAGGCTGGAGGATTGCTGAGAGTTCATGGCCAACCTGGCTACGTAGTGAGTTCAGAGCCAGTCTGAACTACAGTGGGAGACCCTGCCTCAAAAAGAAAAACAAAACAAAGAAAAGGAAGGGAGGGAGGGAAGGAAAGAAGGAAGGAAAGAAAGTTTGGCAATCCTGACCTAGAAGAAGGAATTTATAAAGATAATAATTGGTTCTCCTCCTCTTCCTATTCTTCTTCCTCCTCCTGCTCTTTTCCCTCTCCCTCTTTCTCTTCTTTCTCTTCCTCCTCCTCCTCTTTCTCCTTTTTTGTTGTTTTTTGAGAAGGTCTTTCTGTGTAGTCCAGGCTGGTCTTGAACTCACTATATATGGAGGCTGACCTTGAAATTGTTATCTTCCTGCCTAAGCCTCCCAGGTGCTAGGTTAAAGGTGTGCACCCCCATGCCAGGATGTTGTTTCCTTTTTGACTCTCCCATGTAACTTCCCAAGAAATGATTTTTTTTGTTTTACAATAGACATTGGACTCTTTATTTTAGCCTAATTCTGTTCACCATGAATGCGGATTATTTTGTCTTAAGCATCTTTGATCACATCATAATTGATAGACTAGCTAGGCATGGTGATGCACACCTGTAATCCCTGCAGTCTGGGAGACTGAGGCAGGAGGATGGCAAAATAAAGCCCAGCCTCGGCGGCTTAAGTGACTTAGCAAGACTTTTGTTTCAAAATAAGAAAAGGACTGGGAATGTGGCTCAGTGCAAAGGCCTTTGACTCAATTCCCACAACAAACACAAACTTACAGTATAGCAAGGATGCTTATTAAAATGTCTGACCTCACACTGCCCTGGTGAAGAGCAGGTGGCTATTATTTGGAAAGAAACATGATAAAATTGTAAATGGCGGTTGCTTACATTTTTCACTGATAGCAAACCCAGTTTTCTGGGAGAACTGTAAACTTTATCAATTAAATTTCTGGGGTTAGTTTTCAAAAGGAAAGTTAGAATAGGAAAAGAGGGAACTTCAGCTAAAGTTAGCCACGAAGTAGTAATTAACCATATTAAACCAGTGTTCTAAGTGATGTCCTTTTTTTTTTTTTTTTTTTTATGGTAGTAGGGATTAAACCCAGGGCCTGGCACATTCTGGACAAGTGCTCCACCACTGAGCTGTATCCTCAGCATTTTTATTTTTGTTTTTGATACCTGCCTCAGCCTGCTGAGTAGCTGAGATTATAGCCATGTATCACACAGGAATGTGATGTACCCTTAACTAAGTTACTCGTCACATAATACTCTGAGATACTATTGTTATTCCCATTTTCTACACAAGAAAACTGAAGCATAGAGAGGAGTAATTTGCTGCAGGTCACAAGTAGTAAATGGGTAAGCTGAGGAGTATCAGTGGGCTTGGGAGGAGGATGCAGGGAAGCATGTGAAAGAGAACCAGAATCAGAAAGAAGGGGGTGGCATTGTGGTTACTGAAATGAGACAAGAAAAGAGGGATGGACTTATGCTGTGTCATAGAGGTCCAGGAGGAGATCCACTGCCAAGAGTCCATTGCATTTGGCAGTGAAGGTCGTTGGAGAGAGGAGTCCAAGTGGTAGTGGGGACAGAATGAGGGAATGGCAGGTGAATAACTGGTGAGGAAATGGCGTATGGCAGCTAGAGATGGAAGCAAGGAGGTTGCCAGATGTGGTGTGGCAGGATGGTTTTGCTTTGCTAGAGACTTGAACAGGTTTTGTGCTGAGGAGAAGCACTCACTGAAAGCGAGATTGGAGTTGCTAGAGAAGAGGTTTTTGATTGTAAAGCAAGGGTTCTGAGGAGAAGAGGAAAGGAATAGGATTTGGAGCACAGTGGAATTAAACTTGGGTAGGAGGCAGGGAGCTACTTTCTTCACTGAGGAAGCATGGAGTAGGTGAAGTGGGCATGGTTGCTGGTGTGGGCCGTGTTGGCTCAGTCTTTCTCAGGACACTGGCTGAGAAGGAGGCAGGTTGGATAGGCGATAGGCTTGAGAGCAGTGGCAATATTTGGAATATCTGTGGTGGGGAGTAGGGAGGTGAAGGGGCCAAAGGCCAGAAGATGACTGTAGCAGCGCTATGGCTCCATAGTTAGAGATCTTGATTTATAGAGGTCCCTTTTGGCACAGTTGCTCATACTGCCCAACCCTATGCCCTACTAGGACTCCAGAGCCAAGTAAAGGAGAGTTTTGTGACTGTTTGCTTCCTCAGAGAAACCTTTCCTGGCCTCCTAAATGAAATATCTGTTTATGGGCTCTTGTTGCTCTGTTTTTCTGAGTTGTAGTTTTGTGTTTGATTTTTTCTTGTTGTTATAAATTATAATAAAAATCATTTGATTTATATTTGTTTTCCCTAGTACCTAGAAGCTCTGAGGATGGTTATGTCTAATTTTTCTTATCATTGCTCAGTATCTGGCACCCAGTAGATACTGGGTGAATGATTATTAAATTTGATGAAATAGATATAATGGTTTTCACCAGGGTGGTAGCGCACGCCTATAATCTCAGCACTTGGGAGGCTGAAGCAGGAGGATTGCCAAGAGTTCGAAGCCAGCCTGAACTACATAGCGAGACCTGGTCTCAAATATCCAAACCAAACCAAACCAAAACAAAACAAATACACTGGTTCTCAACCTTTCAGTCCTGCACACCTGTGGAATATGGCTTACTTCATTCTGAACTGTTACAGACGGCTCTGATCCTCACCTGAAGGAGGGTGGTGTCAGGTGGTACAGGGTAATGGCTGGGGAAATCATAGTGTCTGGAGTAAGGATGGATGCCTGTGCTCTTGTGCCAGCCCAGCCTCTCACAAACTTTATTTTTTTTTTCATGGATTATTTCAGTTTATTGCATGAAGGAGTTACACTAGTCCAAGTGAAAGCAGACCCCAAATGTTTACATTATACAAGCTGTGAGGTTTTTAAACTTGTGACAAGGGACAGATGGGATATTCTACTCATTGCAAGGAATCCTCACTTAAGCTTCAATGAGCCACAAGCACTTAAAACCCATGAACCTTCAGCCATGGACCTTACCCAGTCCAATCTCTGCCAGGAACTGGCATATGTTCTTGCACTGGTCACCCTGGAGCTGGGTTCCTTCTCCATATTCTGAATGCTCCATTACAGTACCATTGCAGGCAAATTTCTTCTTAAACATCTTCATCAGTTTCTTCTTAGGATCATCAGTGATCCCTTGGACAGCGGTAAGGGCCTTCCTGCCATTTCTCTGTTGGATTCTTATGTGGATATAATCCTCAGTGCCAGCAGGAAGCAGGTCATCACCCTTACTTGCATGAGCAAAGGCGTCAAAAGAGTAGAGGTTGTGGATAGCAGACATGTGATAGGATTCTGATTTGTTCTTCTCAGTGGAAATGGCCTGCGGAAGACGGCTATGGGAGAAAGGGGTGGGGGCATGGATCACCGGGAAGCCCGGGGTTCAAGGGGGAGGCAGCTGAGTGAGTCCTCGCTGGCAGATAAGTGACCAGGCACAAACTTTATGACCTGGGAAAATTTGTAAATTCTCTGTGCCCCAGTGTCCGTATCTGTAATGTTTGGTTAGTAATGGTACCTACCTCATAGGGTTGTTATGAAGATTACATGAGAGAATTCATGTAAAGCCTTTAGAAGTAGTAAAACCTAGTTATTACTACTAGTGATTTGAAAAGTCTCCTAGATGATTTTGATATCCTTCCTTTCTTGAGAGTTCTGGCCTTGGTAAAAGATTTGTAGGGCAGGCACCCCTGTCAAAACTTTTTGTTTTGTTTTTGGGTTTTTTTGAGACAGTCTCCCTATGTAGTTCAGGTTGGCCTTGAACTCAGCAGTCTTACTGCCTCAGCCTCCTAAGCCACCATGCCCAAATTACCTGTTGGCATCAGTGTGCATAATGGTCTTCTCAACTCAGTGACTAGCACCTGGAAATAAATCCATTTCTATCCTGTAGGACTATCACCAAGAAATGGTAGAAATGTCATGTGGCTGCTCACTTAGGTAGCCTTCCCATCTGTGGACCGAGGAGCATTGACTATTGTCTGCTTTACACCTGCCGTGTTAAACTTGGTTCTCTGGGGGTTTTTTTGCAGAGGAAGTGGCCAAGTTAGAGAAGCACTTGATGCTTCTCCGACAAGAGTATGTCAAGCTTCAGAAGAAATTGGCAGAGACAGAGAAGAGATGCACTCTTTTGGCCGCACAAGCAAACAAGGAAAGCAGCAGTGAGTCATTCATCAGCCGCTTGCTGACAATAGTGGCTGACCTCTATGAGCAGGAGCAGTACAGGTAAGCTCCTGGGCATGGGAAGGGGAACGCTCTGCCTTACTCCTGGGCCATCACAAAACATTGTATCTTCTCCTCCTTATTCACTTTGTTAACAGTATTTCTGTGTAAGCAGGATTTATTAGCAACCCTTTATTCCCTAGAATGTCAGGTTCTTGAGGGAGAGTTTTTGAAAAACTATTTGTCTATCTCCAGCACAGTGTGGGAGTCATGGTAATAGCATTGGTAAGGCAGGCAGGAATTACTTTATGTGTCTAGGAATTTATAGATATCTGTTACCAAGATATTAAAAATAAATACTTGTTTTCTAGCATGCATTTTGTTGAATTTAAATAGTATTTTTATATGCATCTCAATAACTGGAGTGACTGAAATGTAGATTTTTTTTTTTTTTTATGCCAAGAAATGTGGAAAAAACTCCCTTTCTCCCTTTCTTCCTCCCTTCCTCCCCCCATCCATCTTCCCCCACCTTCTCCTCTTTCATGGTACCTGGGACCTAACCCAGGAACTTGAACATGCTAGGCAGCTGTATTTCCTGCAGGCCATAAAATACTAGAATTGATTAAAAGAAGTTTTAAAAAGTTACTAAGCCTTTAATTGTTTCTATATAGAGTCCTCTTAAATTTGACTTTAATTAGACTTTCTATTTTGATTTTTGTTTTTGGTTTTGTTTGCAGTGTTTGGGATCAAACCCAGGGTCTTGCATATGCTAGCAGGCACTTTATCTCTGAGCCATACCCATATCTCTGATATGTGTTTTTAAAAACTATTATTAGAAGCTGGGCAAGATGGTGCACATATGTAATCCCAGCAGGAGGCTGAGGCAGGAGGATCACCATTAGTTCAAGGCCAGTCTGAACTACATAGCGAGACTCGGTCTCAAAAACAAAAACCAAGCCGGGCATGGTGGCACACATTTGTAATCCCAGCACTTGGGAGGCTGTGGCAGGTGGGTCGCTAGGAGTTTGAGGCCAGCCTGAGCTACATAGTGCGTTCAAGGCCAGCCTGAACTACATGGTGAGACCCTCTCTCAAAACAAAATAAAAACAAAAATACAAAAACCGAATTAATTTAAAAGTAAAATTATTATTAGCAATTATTATTGAAATCCTTGTCTTTCCTTCCCTTTGGTATCCCAGACAAGAAAGATAGAAAAAATTGTTTGACTGGACATTTTATGAATAGAAATCCTACAGAAATATTCATTTTTGTAATTGTTTTGTGACTAAGGGTTAGAATTGTGATTGAAACAGTATAGACAGTGAAAATCAATTTTAAGTTATTAGAATATAATTCTTTATAAATATAGGGTTAAATTATTTGTGCTTTGTAAATAGCTTCCTATTTTCATTAAATTTTTAAAACTTTATGATAGTGTATGATTTGGGACAGTTTTATGTTCTGTTTTAAAGAGAATATCAATTCTTTTTTTAGTACTAGAAATTGAACCCAGGGCCTTAGCATTGAGCTACAGCCTCACCTCTTTTTTTGTACTTTTTGAGACAGGGTCTAAGTCACTAAGTTGCCCAGGCTGGGCTTCAACTTGTGAGCTTCCTGCTTCAGCCTCCCAGAGTGCTGGGATTAGGCATGTGCACCATGCCTGGCTAGAATATTAGTTCTGTTTTTTCTTTATATTTATTGATGAATATGTTTTATGTCATTATTGTAACAAATTGAAATAATAAATATTACTCTTGCCATCTAATATCATTAATTATAGCTTAGTCTTTAATAGAGCTAGAATTATTGATATTCTTACATGTTTATAAAGTGTGTTCTAAATAATACTTTATGGGGTTAAATTTGTCTGTGTCAAGCAGTATTCTGCCTGGGTCTCCTTTTAAGTGGATGAATACATTCATGTAATAGTTTTTCTTTTCTTTTTCCCCATGTAATAGTTTTTAAGATTTAGTTTCTAAAGGCTTTCCAACCTAATAATTAATTGTAAAGGGAAGTATGAAAATAAAAAGAAATATATAAACACAAGCAGGGTGATGAAAATGAGTGGCTTTGCACTGCTACCAGCATAGCCATATGGCACATGCTCATGTCAGCTCAGTGGGCCATCTTGACTTTTTTGTTAACTGCCTAGAAGCTTTCCTCCTTTAGTGTTTGATGTGTCAAAGGTAAACATAAGGGCCGGGGATTTAGCTCAGTGGTTTCTCTGCCTGCTGCGCAAGCGCAAGGACCCGAGTTCAATCCCCGGTACCAAAACAAACACAAACAAACAAAGGTAAACATAAATATGTTTTCCAGGAACTCTTTTCATGTAATGGTATATCATAAGTAATAGAAACATGTTTTGAGAAAGGAAATCTCTCACCTCATTTCTTGTGTTTTGTGTTTTTTTTGGTACTGGGGATCGCACTCGGGACCTTGCACTTTCGAGGCAGACACCAGAACCACTGACCTAAATCCCCGGCCCACTCACCTCATTTCTTTATAAATGGTTGAGTAATAAATGGCCAACATTAGGTCTGAATGTTGCTGGTGAGAACAGACATCCAGGTATTGGGTTTCTGATTCTTTCTGGACCTTGCACTTTCAAGGCAGGTGGCAGCACCACTGAGCTAAATCCTAGGCCCGGGTTTCTAATTCTTGAATGCTTTGTCAAAGCCAGTTTTTTTCATAGTTTTTCTGTTTAACTTTGCTTGAGCATTAATATGGAGCCAAGCCACACTGTAGTCTCAAGATTGTCATCACAATCTTTAAGGTTTCCACCTTTCTGTCTGTGATGATTTATCTTGATTTATTCTGCATGAAACATCTACTTCATGTATTAGTATTAATCATTCCACTTGTAGTTCACCACCATAAAAACCCTGTTAGGAGAACATTCTGTGTGAATTAGATAGAAGTTAGAAATTTAAAAAATTCCAGCAACATATTGTAGACATTGCCCATCAAAATTCAGTGTTATCATATAGAAATAATTTTGCCATTTTTTTCTTTTTGTAGATGCATTTTTATCAGTCAGTACCAGTGTATTTATTAGGTATAAATCCTAACTATACCTAGTTATGATGGCATTTTTCTTTTTATATCTGTGGATATTTTTTCTTTGTCTTTTATCAGTGATCTGAAGATCAAGGTTGGGGGCAGGCACATCAGTGCTCACAAGTTTGTCCTGGCAGCCAGGAGTGACAGTTGGAGTCTGGCCAACTTGTCTTCCACTGAGGAGCTGGACCTTTCAGGTGAGCCCCTGTCCCATCAGGGACACAAAAGTGACAGCATAAGAACTCTGGGCAGAAAGTTGTGGTGTGTCATTTTGAAATACTGTGGTTTAATGAAAGTAAAATAATTTTCTTCTCAGTTGGTGGAAACTATAAACTACTTATATAATTTGTTCACTCTCCATAGGTTGTACTTTGTAGTTGCTTGTATTTATTAGTCTCTGGCCAACCACTCATAAATATTTGAGTATCTACAATAATTTTATGACTTATAAAATAGAAATACTTTCTATAAGCACATTTCATATATATAGATATGTTATAAATATACTCCAAGAAGGGCTGGGGATGTAGCTCAGTGATGCTATGCATGCCTGGCAAGTGCAAGGTCCTGAGTTCGATCCCTAGTACCAGAAAAACACCAAAAAACATTGTGTCTTTTGAAAGCATATATCTTTGATTTCATACAGAACAGAATTAATGCATAACTTTTAAAACCCATTAGATTGGCTGGGTATGTTGTCACATGCCTGTAGTCCCAGCTCTTGAGAGGCTGCAGCAGGATGATTGCCAGGAGTTTGAGGCCAGCCTGGGCTACATAGTGACTTTAAAGCCAGCCTGAACTACATAGGCAGAACCTGTCCTAAAAAAACAAACAAGGGCCGGGGATCTAGCTCAGTGGTTCCGGTGCATGCCTCAAAAGTGCAGGGTCCCGAGTTCAATCCCGGGTAACCACCCCGCGCCAAAAAACAACCCCAAAACAACCCATTAGATTGTGAGGTGTTCTTCACAAAATGTATAACAGGATCTTGATTGCATAGATAGTTTACAAAGACTAGAAGAAATAATAAAATGTGGAAAATTTTCAACTTTGTTAGAAAAAAGTTGAAAATAAAACTACCATAGATAGTTTACAAAGACTAGAGGAAATAATAAAATGTGGAAAACTTTCAACTTTCTTAGAAAAAAGTTGAAATTAAAACTACCGTCTTTTGCCGGGGATTTAGCTCAGTGGTTCCGCCACCTGCCTCGCAAGCGCAAGAACCCGAGTTCGATCTCCAGTACCAAAAAAAAGAACAAAAAAACTACCATCTTTTAATATCTGTTATCAAAAGCTGATGATACTAATAATTGTGAGACTCATGAAATTGGTACTCTTTTTTTGTTATTTTGTTTTTGAGGCAGGGTCTCACCATGTAGTTCAGGTTAGTCTTGAACTTGTGGCGATCCTCCTGCCTCAGCCTCTCCCCAGTGCTAGGATCACAGTCATGAGCCACTAACCCAGTGAAATTGGTGGTCTTGCACATTTCCAGTAGTATCATAAATACATTTTAAGAATTTTAGAAAGTAATTAGACAACAGAGCTATGAAATATTCTTTCTTTTTTAAACCTCATTGTCAGACTTCTAGGGTATTATTTAAGTAATTCAGACAGCGTTGATATTAATTATGATTTTATTGTGATTTTGAAATATTTAACCAAAATAAGAATAGGAAAGCAAAATAACTACTCCACAGAAGAAACATATATAATGTAAAAAATTACATAAAAACACAGAAAATTGCATGAAGGTATAGACTTTAAAATTTTTGCTTTATACTAAACTGTTTTTAGTACGTCTTATCACTTAAGGGCACCTTTAACTCAGTGCTATCTGGCCATAGATTGGTTAACTGTGAATCAGGTTTTTAGGAGTTCAGAGAAGTTTAATGTTAATGTTTGTCACATACCTGAAGGGATGTGTGTGTGGCTCAGTGGTAGACACTTGCCTGTAATCATGTGCAAAGCTCTGGATTCAATACCACCCCCCCCACAAAAACAAAACACAAAAGTCCTTGGGCTCTCTGCCTGTTGTAAATAATAAGCATATATTGATCTTGCTGTCAGGTTTGTTTTGAGGAGTGAGCCACTTGGGAGGAGATGGTTTTTGTGGCTTTGGTAAATGAGACACCTACCACAGTGGCTGAGAGTGGAGCCTGTGGGTCTTTTCTTTATGAAATTTTTCTTTGCAGTGTGTTGTGAGGGAGAGGTCTAAGGTAGTGGTGGTATATTTAGCCCTATTCATGTTTCATGGTGTGTTTTTCCTAGCAGGCTTCCTCTGGGCCAATGTATAAGTGTCTAAATCTGGGGTTGCAGCAGCTGGAACTGCTTGGAAGCCTATGTTATATGATAAATACCTGGAAGCAACTTAAAGGAGATTGGAAATAGGCTCATGTAAACAAGTATATAAATAGCATAAAACCTGTTTGTTTTTCTGTACTGGGGATTGAACTCGGGACCTTGTACTTGCGAGGCAGGTGCCAGAACCACTGAGCTAAATCCCCAGCCCCGCATAAAACCTATTTTAAAGGTTGAACTTTTCCACACTTAGACATTTTATTGATTTCCAGGCATGGTGGCACATCCTTATAAGCCCAGCACTTGGAAGGCTGAGGCAGAAGGATCACCATGAGTTCAGAGCCAGCCTGGGCTACATAGTGAGTTGAAGGACAACCTGAATTACATAGTGAGACCCTGTTTCAAAAAAAAAAAAGTATAGGGGGGCCAGGGATGTAGCTCAGTGGTGCTGCCGCCTGCCTGGCAAGCGCAAGGTCCTGAGTTTGATTCCCGGTACCAAAAAAAAAAAAAAGTATAGGTTTATTCATGTTCTGCTTCAAAATTACTCCATTGACACTAGGGATATAAAACTAAATTCTTGCTTGTATGAACATTAGGAAAACTGACTTCCTAAGCTTTGCATTTTTCTTTTGAAGTTCTCATCTAATTGATTTTTTTTTTTTTTTTTGAAACAGGGTCTTGCTATATAGTTCAGTTCAGGCTGGCTTTGAACTCACTGTGTAGCCCAGGTTGGCCTTCAACTCATAGCAATCCTCCTGCCTCAGCCTCCTGACTACTGGGATTACAGGCATATGCTACTTCCCCCGGCTTGATATTTTTTAAAATTCAAAACAATCCACAACTTTAATGTTACTGTAGATTATTATAGGAATTTCTAAAGTCACATGTGTTGTCTTCTTCCTGTAATTCCAGCTACTTGGGAGGCAGGGGCAGGAGGATTGATTGCAAGTTCAAGGCCGGCCTGAGCAACTTGTTGAGACATCTCAAAATAAAATTAAAAAGGGCTGAGGATGTAGCTCAGTACTCCCTGGGTTCAGTCTCCACTACTGCAAAAAAAAAAAAAAAAAAAAAAGTAATTAGCATATGTTAATGAAATACAGCAGGCATTATATATCAAATTATTTAAAAAGTGCTCATATATAGGAAACTTACTGAATCAAGCCTTGTTCAGAAAAGTGAAATGTATGATACACAAACAGGCACAGTCACCTCTGTAAGACTCTTGCTGCAAATACATGACCTTTGTCTAACCATAAGAAAACACCATGCAAACCCAAGTTGAGGAGTGTTACACCAAATTACTGGCTGGTTTTAAACATGTCACAGTTGTGTGAAAGACAAGAGGCTTAGGAATATACAGACTGCTAAGGAGGCATGACACACAGATGGCACACAATGTGAAATCTTCCGTTGGATTTTCAACCTTGAAAAAGGTTTTATTGATAAAATTAGGAAAATAAAGTAATCAGTTGTATATATTACCTAATTAGCCAATTTTGATAATTATACTATAGTTATGTAAATTGTAACATAAGGGAAGAGAATGCTCTGTGACTTTTTTCTGAGTCTGAAATTGTTGTTTTGGGACAGAGTTTCACTATGTAGTTCATGCTGGCCTTGAACTCCCTACCTAGCCCATGTTGGTCTCAAATTTGAGGCTATCCTCCTGCTGATTTGGCCGCCCAAGTGCTGCCACTATGCCCAGCTGAAATTATTTTAAAATGTAAACACAAGAGGGCCGGGGATTTAGCTCAGTGGTTCTGGCGCCTGCCACACAAGCACAAGGTCCTGAGTTCGATACCCGGTACCAAAAACAAACAAACAAAATGTAAACACAAGAGATATACATTTGCTTATTTCTTACTGATTAAATATCAGGATAAAGTTTGTAAGGTGAAGCATATGTTAATCAGCTTGGTTCAACCATGTGCATTATACACATAAACGAAAACATCATATTAGGGCTGGGGACATAGTCAGTGATAGATTATGTATCTGGCATGAATGAAGCCCTAGGTTCAATCTCCAGCACCACAAAAACAAAACAAATTGTGTTATATACTCTAAATATGTGTAATTTTGTCAATTATACCTTAAGAAAAATAAGAAAAAAGACATTTATAAAGATAGTGGTCAGTTATAAAGTGGTCATTTATAAAGATAGTAGATCAGTTGGGAAGAGAAAGAATATAACTGTTAGCTCAAACAATATAATTTTAGGTCAGGAGGAGAACACTGTGGGTATCTTTTAGTGAAGTAAAGCAGTTTGCTTCAGGCAAAACGATTATTTACAGCCTCTAGCACTTTACCACTAGCAGCTGATTCTGTGAAAGGTACCATGCATCAAAATGGCTGTTTTGAAACTAGGATTTCCTTCTTGTTTTCTCAAGCAAAGACCTAATGGTTCCTTGGCATAAGATTAAGGTATTAGTCATTCAGCTCTCCTTGGATTGTGTCCTGGGTCCTGTCAAGCCTTTGCAAAGAGCAGAAAGCATCCTCCTTTTCTCCTTGTCATTTTTGTTAGAAAAGCTAGGCACTGAAACACGAGCTGGGGAAGTTGTGCTTTGGAGCAAACCAACCATGGGTGTCCTGAAGCACCCAGAGATGTTCCAGCAAACTCAGACCAATCTGTTTGATCTGTCAGGGTTTTAAGGGAAACAGCAATGCTGAGTTGTGTTGAATACTATGTGACTACATTGTTTGTTTTCAGTATTAAATTGTACTGCTCCCCTTGTTGCTTATTTTCCTGATCCCTGGGACTCTCCTATATACTGATTTCTAATTTAATTTCATTATCGTACACTTCATATGATTTTGATCCCTTTCAGTTTTTGAGACTTGTTTTATAGCTTAGCCTGTGAAGCCTGTGATTTGTCTTGGTGTATAAATCATATACACCTGA